GCCAAAAGAGAAGGTAAGGGGAGAAATGAGAGGGTAGAGAAGGGGAGGGTCCACCTATCAATCCCCTCTACTCCTGTATCCTAAGAGTACGTCAATCCCTCACTCTCTTAACACAACATGGCCACGGTAGAAGGAGACCAGAGGGGGGGGGGGGGAGGGGCAAAAAAAAGAGGGGGGGGGGATGTGGGATGAAATAGACTATAATGTACCTAATTGGCCAATTTACTTAACAAGCCGAATTTGCCTGAAACATTATATTTTTCCAAGATTTTTTCTTATGAATGATAAAGGTTTTGATTATATTATATATGATCTGAATTGTTGTTACTTTAAGTCAAAACTAACAGAAATTTAACCAAACTTAAGCTAACCTAACCTAACATAACCTAAGTAAGTCTAGTTCTTAATATAATAATATTAATTAAATAAATCAAATTGAAGAGAGATGTTTGAAAATATCGAAAATCATATATATATATATATATATATATATATATATATATATATATATATATATATATATATATATATATATATATATATGTGTCAAAGTGGTGTTCACATAAAACAGTTGTATACTTTTAATAAGAATATCTATTGTAATTTAACGCAGCAAAATAACTTTGTATTAAATAAGATATAACTCAGAGGAAATTGTTTCTCACGTGTAATTAATATTTCAATTTCATAATAAATTCAACTTAGTGTATGGTAATATAATATTGTTTTCATCTGTCTGTCTGTCTGTCTGTCTGTCTGTCTCTCTCTCTCTCTCTCTCTCTCTCTCTCTCTCTCTCTCTCTCTCTCTCTCTCTCTCTCTCTCTCTCTCTCTCTCTCTCTCTCTCTCTAAGTCTAGGGTTCATAAGGGCTGCCTAATGACGTACCTAGTGAAACTGCAAGCAAGAGATGGTCAATTCATTTTATTCCCTTAACTCCCCATTTGCTCCCTTTTCCCCTTTCTCTGTAACTCTCTTCCCTCCCCTTCAGCCCTTTCCCTACGCGTCTCCCTACTTTCCTTTTTTTTGGGGGGGGGGGGGGTAGGAGTTAACAGGATATAGAGGCACAGATGAAGAGAAAACTTTGGAAATGGGATATATAGTGAGAGTTTTGATAGCAGGCGGACTGTTTAGACCATGGCAACCATGTCAACAGTCTGGTCCTGTTTAGAACTTCCAGGCAACCATGTCAACAGCCTGGTCCTGTTTAGAACTTCCAGGCAATCATCTGGTCCTAACGGCAACCATCTGGTCCTGTTTAGAACTTCCAGGCAACCATGTCAACAACCTGTCAGAGCAGTGTCTCTGGTCCTGTTTAGAACTTCCAGGCAACCATGTCAACGGTCTGGTCCTGTTTAGAACTTCCAGGCAACCATGTCAACGGTTTGGTCCTGTTTAGAACTTCCAGGCAATCATGTCAACAGTCTGGTCCTGTTTAGAGCTTCCAGCAACCATGTCAACAGTCTGGTCCTGTTTAGAACTTCCAGGCAACCATGTCAACAACCTGGTCCTATTTAGAACTTACAGGCAACCATGTCAACAACTTGGTCTGCCTATGACATTCCCCTACCATTCATCAGTCACCCTGCAAAATTGAGTGAGGCTAGCTCCAAGCTTCTGTCATCCAACCTTTGGCAGATAAACACAAATATTATAGTGTAGATATAAAGCAGGTTTAGCTGGGTTTGGATATGCTTGGATATGCTTGGATATACTTGAATATGCTTGGGAGTGTAAGGTACAAACGATTCCTGTATTTAATTTTGTATTTACCAGTCTTCACTGTAGCTGTGTAAACAGCCTTTGTCAACAGTGATAAATACAGATTCCTTAGCAATAAATATATAATTTATACATATAATATTGAGCATAATTACTAAAGAGCTTTCACAATTAAACAATTAACCGGTGTTAACGTCCAATGTTAAATCCTTTACCAACAAGGCTTTTCAGCGGCGCTGTAGTTAGGGAAGGAATAAAGCAGTTTAGTCATTAAGGTAATATTTTCAGCAGGAGAGGAATGTGGGGGGCTGGACTTGATGTAGTGAGCGGTAGTCTGGGGTAACTATGTGCACCGGTATGTGGTATGTGGTATGTGTAGCCGGGGAGAGAGGGAGGGGGAGGGGGGGAGAGTGTGTGTGTGTGTGTGTGTGTGTGGAGTGAGGGAAGACTGAGACGTGAGAGTAGTTGTTCTCTCTCTCTCTACTCCCCACTCTTCTCACCCCCTTCTCTAACCCCCTCCTACTCTCCCCTCTGCCTTAACACCTCAGGAGTGGGGCTGAACTTCCTCCTCAACTCTCCACAACAACTTGTCCACCCCCTCAAACCCTCCCTCCCCCCCCCTTCCCCCCTCTCGGGTAAGTTGGGAATATTCCTCAGTAACTGTGAAACGTCTTCACCCTTGCTGGGGGGGGGAGGAGTGGGAGAGAGGGGAAGGTGAGGAGGGGTGAGAGAGAGGGGGGGGGGTGAGAGTGAGAGGCTGTGAGACAGATGTTTGGGAGATGTTGAATGCTGAAGCTTCTGAAATTCTGCTCATGCTAAAGTATGTATACCACAGCTGACGCATGTATACCACAGCTGACGCATGTATACCACAGCTGACGCATGTATACCACAGCTGACGCATGTATACCACAGCTGACGCATGTATACCACAGCTGACGCATGTATACCACAGCTGACGCATGTATACCACAGCTGACGCATGTATACCACAGCTGACGCATGTATACCACAGCTGACGCATGTATACCACAGCTGACGCATGTATACTACAGCTGACGCATGTATACTACAGCTGACGCATGTATACCACAGCTGACGCATGTATACTACAGCTGACGCATGTATACCACAGCTGACGCACGTATACCACAGCTGACGCATGTATACCACAGCTGACGCATGTATACTACAGCTGACGCATGTATACCACAGCTGACGCATGTATACTACAGCTGTCGCATGTATACCACAGCTGACGCATGTATACTACAGCTGACGCATGTATACCACAGCTGACGCATGTATACCACAGCTGACGCATGTATACCACAGCTGACGCATGTATACCACAGCTGACGCATGTATACCACAGCTGACGCATGTATACCACAGCTGACGCATGTATACCACAGCTGACGCATGTATACTACAGTTGACGCATGTATGCTACAGCTGACGCATACCCTAGCAGTGTTCCTATGTATACCTTCGTTACTGGGCACTAAGGAACGTTACTGAGCATTAAGGGACGCTGAATGGGGCAATGACTGGAACATGTTCTGGGACAATGAATGTAAGGAAAGGAATGGTTGGGATGGGATTATAATTTGAATGAGTGTTTAGCCTCCCTCTGTCTGTCTGTCTGTCTGTCTGTCTGTCTGTCTGTCTGTCTGTCTGTCTGTCTGTCTGTCTGTCTGTCTGCGTGTGTGTGTGTGTGTGTGGCAGCCAGCACTGGTGCACGCAGCAGACACAGCGGTGGGGGTCAGGTCAAGTATTAGCCACAAGATAGGGAGAGAAATTGGCTGGTCAGAGTAGCCTGTACACACGTAATTGGTCCTCCAACATGGAGCCGGATGCCCAGTTAAATTGTCGGGGGGGGGGGGGGGGTCTTGAGGTACAGTGGAGGGGGGGAGAGGGGGGTTGTTGTGTTCGAGATGAGGGATAGGAGGGGGTGATGGCAGGATAGAGGGGGGGAGGGGGGGATGGCAGGATAGAGGGGGGAGGGATAATTATAATAATACAAATAATAATTCATTGTGTCGGGGGGGACAGGAATCTAGGTGAACAGGTGCATTAGGTGTTGTGGTCAACCATTTGTGTGCCGGGCGAGGGTAAGACCCCGGGGTTGTGGGTCTTGGGTTGTGGAAGGTAGAGGTGTTGTAAGGAGGGTTATAGTGAGGTTGACTAAGACCCCCCCACACCACCACCACTCTCCACAGGGTGATGCCGTCTGTCTACACCAGCCTCCTACTGGCGCGGGGCGCGGTGCTGCTGGCCCCGGCCCTCCTCACCTGGGATGTTACGGAGGGACGGTTGTGGGAGGGAGGGTAGAGGGAGGGAGAGAAGGAAGAGGGACAGAAGGGGGAGGGAGGGAGGGAAGGAGGGAGGGATGTTTACCTCCGATCTAGATGGAGTCAAGAGAAAAATATATTTTGTGACTTTACTTTTCACTGCCTTTCCTTCGATTTGCTGTAGTGTGTGTGTGTGTGTGTGTGTGTGTGGTGTGTGTGTGTGTGTGTGTGTGTGTGTGTGTGTGTGTTTGTGTACTCACCTAATTGACCTAATTGTACTCACCTAATTGTGCTTGCTGGGGTTGAACTTCGGTTCGTTGGTCCCGCCACTCAACCGTCAATCAACTGGTGTACAGGTTCCTGAGCCTATTGGGCTCTATCATATCTACACTTGTAACTGTGAATGTAGTCAGCCTCCACCACATCATTTCCTAAGGCATTCCACTTGTCAACTACTGACGCTAAAAAATTCTTTCTAATGTCTCTATGGCCACTCAATTTCCACTTGTGTCCCCTAGTGCTTGTGCCCTTTGTGTCTTTGTCTACTCTATCAATTCCTTTCAGAATCTTGCATTTGGTGATCATGTCCCCTCCCTACCTCTTCTGTCTTCAAGCGACATGAGGTTTAATTCCCGTAGTCTCTCCTCGTAGCTCATACCTCTCAGTTCGGGCACTAGTCTGGTGGCAAACGTCTGAACCTTCTCCAATTTAGTCTTATGCTTGACGTGATATGAACTAAATGCTGGAGCTGCATACTCCAGGATTGGTCTGATATACGTGATATACAAGGTTCTGAATGATTCCTTACACAAGTTTCTAAAGGCCGTTCTTATGTTGGCCAACCTGGCATATGCTGCTGATGTTATCCCCTGGATATGGGCTTCAGGGGACAGGTCTGGCGTGATATCAACCCCTAAGTCTCTCTCTGTCTCTGACTCTTGAAGAATATCATCTCCGAAAGGATACCTTGTATCTAGTCTCCTGCTCCCTACACCTATCTTCATTACATTACATTTGCTTGGGTTAAACTCTAACAACCATTCTTTGGATCATCCCTTCTGTTTGTCCAGATCTTCTTGAAGCCTCATGTGTGTGTGTGTGTGTGTGTGTGTGTGTGTGTGTGTGTGTGTGTGTGTGTGTGTGTGTGTGTGTGTGTGTGTGTGTGTGCGTGCGTGCGCTGAAGGAGTTAATACTACCCATTCCTTCTAAAATAGATCCTAATATCCCTGGCCGCCCGAGCGACTCGCCGGCCTGAACGTTATTAGAGAGAATTGAGCGCTAGTCAGAGGGACGCGACCGCCTCTTTGACCGTGTTTAGCCTCGGCCCCGCCGCCCCAGGCCACCGCCCGCCTTTCCACACAAATTCGCTGAATTCCAAATATGCGTTTCATTATCTTCTTTATTTACTTAGCGTCACCGTGACATGTGTCTCTGGAGGAGGGATGGGAAGGGGGATGGGAGAGGGGGAACGGAAGGGGGGGGCCAAGTTCCAGGCCCCTCCCCTCCCCCCCCTCTGGAAAGTCTTAAGGCAGCGTCTTGTCAAAAAATACCGGAAGAAATATGATCGCAATTCCGAAGCGTTTGAACGCCGGTACATAAACTTTCTCAACAATTTCGATATAAGAAGGTTGTAACGCTGCCTTAGGATCTTCCGAAGGAAGTTATTGGTTATCGGTAGGATGGATGGCTATCCTGACCGGCAGGAACTGGTCAGCAGGATGGGCGGACCTCCCCAGCAGGATGGGAGGACCTCCCCCAGCAGGATGGGATGGGGTGCTGTGAGAGGAGGAACAGGAGGAGGCTGCAGCTAGTTGGTCATGTCATGGGGGCCGCTACATCACCTTACAAGCAAGCCCTCATTATCTCCAGCAGCTGGACCATTCCTCCACCCCTCACTTGGGGGAAGGGAGAATGGAAGGGGCAGCCGTAGGAAGGAATAGGGAGATGCGGGGAGCGGTAGGCGGGATGGAATAATAGGGGAAAAGTGGGTTGGGATAGGAGGGAGTGTGGAAGGGGGGAAGGGGAGGGGATAGATAAGGGATTTGGCGCTAGGAAACACTAGATGAACAGGTACCGGGATGAGGTACCAGGCTGAGGTACCAGGGGTTGAGGTACCGTGTGTCCTTGTGTACAACAGCGTGCGGTAGAGACGCGAGGAATAATATCTCACACCCGCACCAATTTCATGGGTTAGTGACTCCCGATGGTCTCCTCGGGTTACGTAGTGGCGCTGACCTATGACCTGTAACCTGTAACCTGTGACCTGTAACCACCCCCCTTCCTCCCCCTCCCCCCCCCACTCACCAGCATTACCAGCCATGATGCTGGTGAAGATGTTGGCGGAGCTGCGATCTCGGCCAAGCTGGCTCTTCTGTTCAACTGTGCCCTTGGAGAGGTCGGCGTTGACGTTGTTGTTGTTGGTGGCGGTGATGATGCGGCTGTCCTCCAGGTCGAGGATGACGTGACTCTGGCCTCGACCCCCCTCCCGCTCGAGGGGGAAGTGCTCGATCGTGTTCATCTCCTCGGACTCTGAGGGACGAGGGCCATCAGTGTTGGGTCAACAGGGACTCGGGACTTCACAAGGGTGACGTCAATAGTGGGGGTAAAATTGTATTAATGGAGCCAAGTGTCGTGTTAAGGGGCAAGTGTCGTGTTAAGGGGCAAGTGTCGTGTTAAGTGTCAAGTGTCGTGTTAAGAGTCAAGTGTCGTGTTAAGAGCCAAGTGTCGTGTTAAGAGTCAAGTGTCGTGTTAAGAGTCAAGTGTCGTGTTAAGAGTCAAGTGTCGTGTTAAGAGCCAAGTGTCGTGTTAAGAGTCAAGTGTCGTGTTAAGAGTCAAGTGTCGTGTTAAGAGTCAAGTGTCGTGTTAAGAGTCAAGTGGAATGGAATAAGCTAATTTTGACGTCACAAAGAAGGTATATATATATATATATATATATATATATATATATATATATATATATATATATATATATATATATATATATATATATATTAATATTATTTGCATTTATTTAAGATACAATGTATGCGTTTAAATTGTAGGTATAAGCTTATGTATGCAAATATATATGTATAAACCAGTTTAATAACTGTGTATTTATTTTTGAACTGTGTATTTATTTCTGTGTTTGTATCTGAACAAACCCCAAAGCCAATAATTATCTTACCTCTGTCACTCTTGGCTTTGTTGACACGTGGCTGTTCCCGCTTGAGTTCTGGCGGGAGAATACAGAGATCAGCTCAAGACTGTTCGCTAGTGTGTGTTTGTCTGAGGCAAACAAGCCCACACTTTGAACTCCATGTATGAGTTTGCTTCGACAATGTCAAGATCTGTTTGAGTGAGTGTAGAAATGTTTGTGTTTGATCCGAACCTTATAATCCTGATCACAGATCGAATCTTTAGACAGAATCCTGTAATACGAATCATCACCCGTTCTCAACACACACACAGATCACACTAACGTGATGCATCAAATGAACAAATCCACAAGGGCAGTGGACGAGGATTCGAACCTGCGTCTGGGAGCATCCCAGACACTGCCTTAATCGACTGAGCTACGACAGGGTTAAAAAGACGCAGATTCGAATCCTCGTCACTGCCCTTGTGGATTTGATCACCCGTTCTCATCAAAAACAGGCCAAATGGGGGTTGATACGATCATCAAACCCAAGAATGAAGAACATTTATCACAAGACTCACAACTCAAGACGCTCAAACATTACTCGAACCGTACTGCGCTTAACTCAAAATGCTTCACCCACGTACTAGTACAATTGATATGCACAATCTATGTCTATAAGATGATTGATTGATGAAGATTAAGCCACCTAAAAGGTGGCACGGACATGAATAGCCCGTAAGTGGTGGCCCTTTTGAGCAATTACCAGTATCAAGAGCTGATACTGGAGATCTGTGGAGGTGCGACTGTACCCTGCGTGACGGGAGATGTCTCCCGTGTCTATAAGATAGAATGTGTGTTTATTTGTGTGCTATTACGGGCTATTCATGCCCGTGCCACCTCTTGGGTGGCATAATCTTCATCAATCAATCAATTATTTATGTATCCGGGTTTGCAGGCCAGAAGGTTGTGGTTATAACCTCTTGTAACTTTCCATGGAGACTTGTGACTCCGCGGGGAGGGGCCATAGAGTAGCTGGGGGTCGACCCCCCCTCCTATGCCCCGCCTTAAAATAGGACTGGTTCCTATTGCGCTAACCAATGAGTTCTCTGACATCGGATATGTGGGTTGGGTTGTCCACAGCGTGTTTACCAACCCAATTCTCGGCTGTTGTCGGCATAGACTGAACACCCATAATATTGATTCAACGTGTCTCAGACATGTTTTATCCACCTAGCAGCGAGAACAGGAAGAGAACAGGAAGAGAACATAAGGGAGAATGGGGGGAGGGAGGAATAATGGGTAGGAGATCATGGTGTGAAGCAGAATAGGAGAAAGAAAGGGAGAATAGAAGGAAGGCAGGGAGAGAGGAAATGAGAAACGGAGAGAGACCCGGGTATCGCCGGATACCGCCTCTAATATGCTAATATATTACAGTATTAATTTATATTTTAGAAACATTCCTATTCTGAATGAGCAATATGTTAAACTGATGAACACGTCCTTACAGTCGGCTCGTTAAAGCGGCGGCCAACGCCCTTCCAAAGATGCATTAATTAATTTTAATGAATTGTGTCTTAATGTGCAATACGTTGAAATTGATGGTCGTGTCTTGGGGTCTGGCCGCCGCTTTAACGAGGCTGGGTTGAGGTCGGGTTCCGTCATTGCCTCTAATATAGAGGCAATGATGGAACCCTAATTTATAGACCTCTAATATACAATAATATTACTTTATATATGAGGAAAACTATTTAAAAAAAAATTAATAAACAATGCATTAATATATATTAGAATAATATTATTATATATTAAAGTTCTGTGTATAGTTAGGCGTAAGTTAAGTTCTGTTTGCATTCGTAGTACGGGGGTGAAGCATTCGTAGTACGGGGGTGAAGCATTCGTAGTACGGGGGTCAAACATTCGTAGTACGGGGGTCAAACATTCGTAGTACGGGGGTCAAACATTCGTAGTACGGGGGTGAAGCATTCGTAGCCTTTGTATTCATTGAAGCATTCGTATTCGTAGAACATTTGACCTTTGTTGATGAGGACGGGTTTGGACATATTGCAGCCTCAGTGTGCCCAAGCGTCTTGGACACATCAAGGCTGCAATGTGTCCAAGACGGTTGCAACTGCGACGATTAAACACGATCTCTTTCAGAACATTGACAAATACAAAAAATGTTCTCAACTGGAGGATTCTCGACAGCGTTTTCTATGACCCTTGGTGACATTGTGATCAGAGGGGGGGGGGACTATCTCTCTCTCTCTCTCTCTCTCTCTCTCTCTCTCTCTCTCTCTCTCTCTCTCTCTCTCTCTCTCTCTCTCTCTCTCTCTCTCTCTCTAGGGTGGTGACTGGTAGAGGTACACGTACCGTGTAGCTCCACGGTGCCATCATTCTCACCGAAGGAGTTTCTTGAATAACACAGGTACTTCCCGAAGTCTCCAGGCTCCAGCTGTATGGGAGAGTGTGATGAGTGGGTGTGTGGGGGGAGTATGGTCAATGAGACCCCCCCCACACGTGAGAACATTGACCAAGCCCCCCCCCTTAGGAGCCACTAGCAAGAACGTGCCATTATCCTCACTATAAAGACATTAATCATTAAGAAAATGAACAAAAACAAAGTTCACAAACCCCCCTCCGCCCCCTGGTGGTATTGCCCCCTCTCCCCCCCTGGTGATATAGCCCCCTCCCCCCCTGGTGGTATAGCCCCCTCCCTGGTGGTATAGCCTCCCCCTGGTGGTATACCCCCCCCACAGTACCCTCCCCCCCCCCACAGTACCTCCCCCCCCCACAGTACCTCCCCCCCCACAGTACCTCCCCCCACAGTACACTCCCCCCCCACAGTACCTCCCCCCACAGTACCTCCCCCACAGTACCTCCCCCCCCCCCCCCACACAGTACCTGCTTGATAGTGAGCTTGACAGTGGTGGTGTAGTCGTCGTGGTGGAACTCCTCAAGGCGGTACTTGTTGGTGGACATGACCATGGTGTGGTTGTGCTTCCAGAAGGTGACGGCCCGAGGGTAGGCCTCCGTCTTACACTCCAGCCACACCGACGACCCCCGCGGCGCCGACATGAGCTGGTTGGGCAGCAGCACGATGGGCGAGACTGATGGTGAGAGAGAGAGAGCAGTGGTTAGTGGTGATGGGGCTGGCCACCGGTCACACTCATCACTAGTGTGGTCAGTCACACTATACGTCACGTCACACTAACCTATACATATCTACACCTTTAATCACTTCTTGGTTTTAATTTCTAATCTCAACCCCCCCCCCCCACCCATTCCCATAATCGCATTCCTCCCCCCCCTTTTCAATCCTATTTCCCCTCAATTATGTTTCCATCCTCAGTTGTATTTGCCTCATCAGTCCTATTTCTCCCCCTCAATTCTATTCCCCATCTATTCTATTTACAGCCTCAATACTATTTTTACGACGGTGTTAATAGCTTCAAGACTGTGATGTATTAAGTGGAACAACAGGAAGGGGGCTTGTGTGTCAACTGTTCCATCAACGGACTCATCATTGGCGCCATCAACGGACTCATCATTGTCTCCATCAACGGACTCATCATTGGCGCCATCAACGGACTCATCATTGTCTCCATCAACGGACTCATCATTGGCGCCATCAACGAACTCATCATTGGCTCCATCAGCGGACTCATCATTGTCTCCATCAGCGGACTCATCATTGTCTCCATCAACGGACTCATCATTGTCTCCATCAACGGACTCATCATTGGCGCCATCAACGGACTCATCTTTGTCTCCATCAACGGACTCATCATTGGCTCCATCAACGGACTCATCATTGTCTCCATCAACGGACTCATCATTGGCTCCATCAACGGCTGAAAGTCTCCTCCTTGCGGCTTCCCCGTGAGGTCAACTTATGTCAATTATGTTGTGATCAAATAGGAACTATGCCATTCTTGGTAGTTACCGGGGAAGGGAGAGGGTCAGGGAGAGGGTAAGGGAGAGAGGGGGGAGAGAGAAGGGAGAGAAAGTCAGGGAGAGGTGAGAGTAGAGAGCTCTCAACATCGGATGACTGTATGAATATGGCGGACATGATAACGATAACTTAGCCTTACGGCACTAGAAAAAGAAGGGAGAGAGAGGGGGGGATATGATAGGAACGTATAAAATACTCAGGGGAATTGACAGTGAACATCGACGAAATGTTCACACGGAATAGTAACAGAACGAGGGGACATGGATGGAAGTTGGAAACTCAGATGAGTCACAGGGATGTTAGGAAGTTTTCTTTTAGTGTGAGAGTAGTGGGAAAATGGAATGCACTTAAGGAACAGGTTGTGGAAGCAAATACTATTCATAATTTTAAAACCAGGTATGATAGGGAAATGGGACAGGAGTCATTGCTGTAAACAACCGATGCTCGAAAGGCGGGATCCAAGAGTCAATGCTCGATCCTGCAGGCACAAATAGGTGAGTACACACACACACACACACACACACACACACACACACACACACACACACACACACACACACACACACACACACACACACAAACACCCCCCCCCCACACACACACACACACACACACACACACACACACACACACACACACACACACACCCACACTCACACCCACACACACACACACACACACCACACACACATACACACACACACTCACACACACACACGAATAATTGCGAAATAATTATAATTGCGAACAATTATAGTCGCAGTCATATATAATCCACCACCAAATGACAGAAGACCTAGACAGGAATATGATAGAAACAACATGGCCACCATTAACATAATAGAAAGAGCAGCTTCTGTTGCTAGCAGGAATGGATCTGGACTACTAATTATGGGAGACTTCAACCATGGGAAGATAGATTGGAAGAACAGAGACCCGCATGGAGGACCAGAAACATGGAGAGCTAAGCTGCTGGACGTGGCAACAAGAAACTTTCTAAGCCAGCACACCAAAGAACCAACAAGAATGAGAGGAGAAGATGAACCAGCAATGCTTGATTTGATATTTACCCTAAATGAATGGGATATAAGGGAAGTTAAGATGGAAGCGCCCTTGGAAATGAGTGACCACAGTGTATTGAACTTTGAGTACCTGGTAGAGCTAGGACTTATCTCCCCCCAAAAAGAACTAGGAATCAAAAGGCTGGCATACCGAAAGGGGAATTATGAACAGATGAGAAGTTTCCTAAGTGAAATACCTTGGGACACAGACCTCAGAGACAAGTCTGTACAGGGTATGATGGACTATGTTACCCAAAAGTGTCAGGAGGCAGTAAACAGGTTCATCCCGGCCCAAAGGGAAAAATCCGAGAAGCAACAGAAGAATCCATGGTATAATAGGGCATGTATGGAAGCGAAGAAACTGAACAAAAAGGCGTGGAGGAACTTCCGGAATAACAGAACACCAGAAAGCAGAGAGAGATACCAGAGAACCAGGAATGAGTACGTCAGGGTGAGAAGAGAAGCAGAGAAAAATTTGAAAATGATATAGCAAACAAAGCCAAGACCGAACCAAAGCTACTCCACAGTCACATCAGAAGGAAAACAACAGTGAAAGAACAGGTATTGAAACTTAGAACAGGCGAGGACAGGTATACAGAGAATGACAGAGAGGTGTGTGAGGAACTCAACAAGAGGTTCCAGGAGGTCTTCACAATAGAACAGGGTGAGGTCACTGTGCTAGGAGAAAGGGAGGTAAACCAGGCGGCCTTGGAGGAGTTCGAAATTACGAGAGAGGAGGTCAAGAGACACCTGCTGGATCTGGATGTTAGAAAGGCTGTTGGTCCAGATGGGATCTCACCATGGGTACTGAAAGAGTGTGCAGAGGCACTTTGCCTGCCACTCTCCATAGTGTATAGTAAGTCACTAGAGACGGGAGACCTACCAGAAATATGGAAGACGGCGAATGTGGTCCCAATATACAAAAAGGGCGACAGACAAGAGGCACTGAACTACAGGCCAGTGTCCTTGACTTGTATACCATGCAAGGTGATGGAGAAGATCGTGAGAAAAAACCTGGTAACACATCTGGAGAGAAGGGACTTCGTGACAAATCGCCAACATGGATTCAGGGAGGGTAAATCTTGCCTTACAGGCTTGATAGAATTCTACGATCAGGTGACACAGATTAAGCAAGAAAGAGAGGGCTGGGCGGACTGCATTTTCTTGGATTGTCGGAAAGCCTTTGACACAGTACCGCATAAGAGGCTGGTACATAAGCTGGAGAGACAGGCAGGTGTAGCTGGTAAGGTGCTCCAGTGGATAAGGGAGTATCTAAGCAATAGGAAGCAGAGAGTTACGGTGAGGGGTGAGACCTCCGATTGGCGTGAAGTCACCAGTGGAGTCCCACAGGGCTCTGTACTCGGTCCTATCTTGTTTCTGATATATGTAAATGATCTCCCGGAGGGTATCGATTCATTTCTCTCAATGTTTGCGGACGATGCTAAAATTATGAGAAGGATTAAAACAGAAGAGGACTGTTTGAGGCTTCAAGAAGACCTAGACAAGCTGAAGGAATGGTCGAACAAATGGTTGTTAGAGTTTAACCCAACCAAATGTAATGTAATGAAGATAGGTGTAGGGAGCAGGAGGCCAGATACAAGGTATCATCTGGGAGAGGAAATTCTTCAGGAGTCAGAGAAGGAAAAAGACTTGGGGTTGATATCACGCCAGACCTGTCTCCTGCAGCACATATCAAGCGGATAACATCAGCGGCATATGCCAGGCTGGCCAACATACGAACGGCATTCAGAAACTTGTGTAAAGAATCATTCAGAACTTTGTATACCACATATGTCAGGCCAATCCTGGAGTATGCAGCCCCAGCATGGAGTCCATATCTAGTCAAGGATAAGACTAAACTGGAAAAGGTTCAAAGGTTTGCCACCAGACTAGTACCCGAGCTGAGAGGTATGAGCTACGAGGAGAGACTACGGGAATTAAACCTCACTTCGCTGGAAGACAGAAGAGTTAGGGGGGACATGATCACCACATTCAAGATTCTGAAGGGGATTGATAGGGTAGATAAAGACAGTCTATTTAACACAAGGGGCACACGTACTAGGGGACACAGGTGGAAACTGAGTGCCCAAATGAGCCACAGAGATATTAGAAAGAACTTTTTTAGTGTCAGAGTGGTTGACAAATGGAATGCATTAGGAAGTGATGTGGTGGAGGCTGGCTCCATACACAGTTTCAAGTGTAGATATGACAGAGCCCGATAGGCTCAGGAATCTGTACACCTGTTGATTGACGGTTGAGAGGCGGGACCAAAGAGCCAGAGCTCAACCCCCGCAAACACAACTAGGTGAGTACAACTAGGTGAGTACACACACACACACTCACACACACACACAAGAGAAAAGGCATAAACGAGTTGAAATAAAGTGAAAAATAAAAAAAAATAGATCAAGTGATAAAAAGATATACGGATAGATATGTATAGATAATTGGGGATATATAAATATAAATATAGCATGAATCATATTACATTTTACACTAGAAATGGGTGTGACTCGTATCACTAGGATACTACTTAGCATCCTCAGAGGAAGAAGGAATATATATATATATATATATATATATATATATATATATATATATATATATATAATATATATGCAGACAGAAATATACATTCTATGAGGGTATAGGAGAGGTTATTCGATGGCTTTGTTGATTATGCTTTGTTAAACGCCTTGAAAGAGATGTTGTTGTCGTGTCTATATATAGAGATCGCTGGAGCGGACAGTGTCCCCTCAAGTGACCACGTACTGTCATAGTTGACAGTCTTCCCTCTGTCTTGTGGACGGTTGAAAACATTTTAATCAAGCTTTATAGGCGGAAGGAAAGGGAA